TATATATGCGCAAAGTGTAATTACCTCCTTCCCAATCTTTCCACTGATAGTCCCATCTTTAATTGAAGCTATGAGCTCCCCAAGTTCTTGAGGGGAAAGTTTAATCTCATTGATAGTCACTTTTTCATTTTTCATATATGCAGCAATATCACACATAATCCAATTGGCAGCAAGCTTTACATCAGCACCAGCTGCAATTGTTGCATCAAAAAATTCTGCAGTCTGAAACATTCAATTATTAGTGGATTTTGAACATTTCAACAAAGAAATAATTGAAAAGGCTGGAAAAGAAACATGGTTTTGAAAGTTAACAGTTCAAGAATTTTAAGAGCAGGATGATGAAGGCATCTCATGCTTCAGGACATCCTTGAAAAAAAACTAAATTGGGAAATCCATGCATGCAAAACTTTACTTATTCAAGTTTCCACAAACTCCCCCCACCCCCCACCCCGGGGGTGGGGGGTGGAAGGGGGGAGGGGTTGGTCTCATTGGGCCATCGGAAGAGAAGGGGGAAGGGAGGTAGACATGTCCAGGGGCCGTACTGCTAAATGGCCTTACATATACATAAAAGTCAAATAATGCTTCCCGGTAGCTGCTTAAGGATTTAAAACAGCAAACTAAATCTCCGGAAGGAAGCAATTCATGCACAGGTTAAGCCCGTACTAAATAACATCAGCTTGATAGATTACAGCAATGGAGGGTCAACATGTCAATAAGGCCAGTATAATCAGAACCTGAAGATGAGCAGCACTTACATTCATGTCATTGGCGAGAAACAAGACATCTTGCATGCTTAGGCCCATGTTCTCGTACCTCCGACGCTTAGCTTCCGGAACTTCAGGCAATGACTCACGGATATTGTCCACATACTCCTCGGTGAGAGTAACTCCAGGAAGATCAGGTTCAGGGAAATAACGATAGTCAGCAAGTCCTTCCTTTTTCCGCATTGTTACTGTTTTCTAAAAGTATGAGAAAGTTAAGCATATAAGTTTTCCATGGAAAGACTTGAGTAAATTAATCTGACATACTGCAGTAGCATGAAACTAACAGTCGCATACCTGAGCACCTTCCTCCCATAGTCGAGTTTCCTGTACAATTTGATCAACCTGGCCTTGGCTATGTAGAAGCACCTGTCTTGAAATTTCATAATCAATGGCCCTACTCACCGATGAGAAGGAGTTCAAGTTTTTAATTTCCTCCTGACGTGAGATGAAATATCAGTTCATCATATACAATGCTCACTTAAGTTAATGCGGAGAATTTCCAAAACATAGAAAAGCAACAGTAAAAAAATAATGCCAGATGAAGCAGAAACACGGCCCATAAGGCAGAAGAATCCATGTTATTGATATGAAAGTTGCAAAAATGGGGAAATTCCCGTCACTCTAGCAACAGTTACATTGGATTAACTAGCCATTTACTGAATGGCATTCAATATGTAGTTTGAGGGATTAAGAGAAAAAAAGAATTATTTGATAAACATGTCTCCAGTTTCAATTTTCTCCAACAAAGGTGGTTTCCACCAAATGAAGCTGAAATTAAGTTTATCAGAATATAAAATTCAGGTTTACTAAAGTTGGCATGCAAATCTAGTCTCCTCTGGGACCTATCCAAAACCATGTCCACATTCAAATGACAAGTACAGTTCCTTACTAAGTTTGATGTTAAAGCAAGAATTTCATAAATGGCGAAACTGAACTTGCAGCTGTGGCTAAATCAAGTTGTCCATTTAACTGATTATAGAGAGGACCATTTTTTGTGGTGCATAGATGAATAACGGAATTGGAGCCAATGTTTCACTTAAAACACAAAACTGTAATATATGTGGCCTACTTTTGGCCAATGATTATTAGCCTTGTTAGCTTTTTCATGGCCTTTCCTTAATGACCTTGTTGGACATATTATGTTCTCTCATTCTAGGCCTTGTATACCAAGCAACTCAAATTCCTTTGGCTATAAATTGAGCTGATTCTAAACACACCAACAAGACTTGAGTCTTCATTTCTGGTTTCTTCTCCTCCTTTAGTAATTGAGAGTATTTTGTAAGAGAGTTGAGTGTTGGGAAACACTTGTGTGATCCCCTTTCTTTAGAGTGATCTTGTGAGGTTATTGTCTCGGGGGTATTTGGTATTAATTAGAATATTTACTCTAATTTTGTAAGCTCTTTTGTACTCTTGTTGCTATAGTAAATTTGCTCATCTCCGCTTGTGGACGTAGGTCACACTGACCGAACCACATTAAATTGGTGTCTTCTTTATACGCTTTAATTGTCGTTGTTATCAACTTGCATTGTCTTTGTTATTGTCATTATAATTGAGTTCCCGATCCTAACAAATTGGTATTAGAGCCGGATCTAATCGGGTTAGTTTAAATAGCCAAAATGACTCTAACAAAGTCTTATGTTGAGAAATTTAACCGAAGTGCAAACTTCGGAATGTGGCAATTAACGATGGAAGCTACCATAATTCAGGATGGCTTAGATTTGGCACTGCAAGTAAATGAGAAGAAGTCGGATAAAATGACGGACGAGAAGTTTGCCGTCATAGACAAAAAGGCAAAAGCAGGTATTATTTTAAATCTCTCAAATGAAGTTTTGCGTGAAGTTGCAGCAGAAAGCTCAGCCAAAGGCATATGGGAAAAGCTGAAAACCCTATATATGAAAAGAACAGTAGAAAACAGACTTTACCTAAAGCAAAAACTCTACACTTTTCGTATGGCTGAAGGTACCTCTATACTTACACATCTTGATACTTTTGATTCTCTTCTTATGGATTTAAGTAACATAGATGCTGAAATCAAAGATGAGGATCAAGCTGTGTTATTGCTTGTTTCCTTACCCCNCTCTACACTTTTCGTATGGCTGAAGGTACCTCTATACTTACACATCTTGATACTTTTGATTCTCTTCTTATGGATTTAAGTAACATAGATGCTGAAATCAAAGATCAGGATCAAGCTATGTTATTGCTTGTTTCCTTACCCCAATCGTTTAAACATATAAGAAATACTATGCTTTATGGAAAGGATAATATCTCTTATAAAGATATCAAATCTATTTTGAAATCAAAAGAACAAATAGATAGAGATATTACTGGGGAAACTAGCGGGAACCAAGGGGAAGGCTTTTTCATAAGAGGTAGATCCAATAAAAAAGATTCAAGTAGTGAGAGATCTAAATCAAGGTCAAAATCCAGATACAAAAATGTCATGTGCAAATATTGTCATAAGAATGGTCATATTATTTCTGAATGCTTTAAACTGAAAAATAAAGAAAAGCATAAAGAAAAGAAAAATGAACACAAAAATATTGACACTGCCGAAGCAAGTGTAGCTGCTGATGAGACTGAGGGAACTATTTTTTTGGCAACTAATAATAGTTTCAAATCTAACAATGAGTGGATTTTAGATTCGGGTTGTTCTTATCATATGTGTCCCAATCAGGATTTATTTACTACATATGAATCTATTGGAAGTGGAGTTGTCTTGATGGGAAATAATGCTGCCTGCAAAGTTATTGGAAAAGGTACAGTCCGAATCAAAATGCACGATAGTGTGGTGAAAACTCTCACCGATGTTAGACATGTTCCCCACCTGAAGAAAAATATCATCTCTTTGGGTACATTAGAATCTCTTGGGTGCAAGTACACATGTGAAGGTGGAGTTTTGAAAGTTTCTCATGGTGCTCTTGTGACCATGAAAGCACGCAGATCTGGTACGTTGTATACTCTATTGGGATCTACTGTTACAGGTGCTGCTGCAGTTTCAACATCAAATAAATCAAAATTTTGACATCACCAAATTGTGGCATATGCGATTGGGGCATACGAGTGGAAAAGGTCTTTCCATCCTCAGCAAAAGAAGTCTCTTATGTGGCCAAAGTACCGGAAATATGGAGTTCTGTGAACGTTGTGTTCGGGAAGCAAAAAAGAGTCAGCTTCAAATCTCCAGCGATTCATAGAACAAAAGGTACTTTGGATTACATTCATTCAGATCTTTGGGGTCTTTCACGTACCCCATCAAAAGGTGGTGCCAAGTATATGTTAACTTTCATTGATAATTATTCAAGAAAAGTTTGGGTTTATTTCCTGAAAAATAAAAATGATGTTTTCTTAAATTTCAAACAATGAAAAATTTTGATTGAGAAGCAAACAGGAAAACAGATTAAGCGGCTTAGAACAAATGGCTTGGAATTTTGTAATGATGAATTCAACAAATTTTGCAAGAATGAAGGAATTGCTCGACATCGTACTGTGAGAATGACATCTCAGCAAAATGGTGTGGCAGAAAGGATGAATAAAACTCTTTTGGAAAGGGCTCGTTGCATGATTTCAAATGCTGGGCTGACAAACGCCTTTTGGGCAGAAGCTATCTCTACAACTTGTTATATTGTCAGCCGAGCTCCTTCTGCACCTTTGAACTTTAAGACTCCAGAGGAAATGTGGTCAGGTACTCCTGCTAATTATTGTGATTTAAAGATATTTGGTTGCCCTGCATATATGCACGTAAATGATGAAAAATTAGAGTCAACGGCTAAAAAGTGCATTTTCCTTGGGTATGCATCTGGGGTGAAAGGATACCGACTATGGTATCCTGATCCCACGACACCAAAATTTATAATTAGCAGAGATGTAACCTTTGATGAATCCTCTATGTTACATTCTAGAAAAGAGTCTTCTAGTTCTTGTAACAGTAATACAGATAAAGGAAAGAGTACACAGAAGCAGGTGGAGGTTGAGATTGACATTCCTTCTGAGCCAAGCTCATCAACTTTGGGGCAAAATACAGTTGAAACTCCTGAAGTTGAGCCAAAACCTGAAATTCCTGAAGTTCAGACTCCTGAAGTTGAACAAGAGAAAGAGGAGTATTCTATAGCCAAACATAGACCAAGAAGAGAAAGTAAACAACCATTAAGGTTTGGAGATTATGTTGCATTTGCTTTTTCAGTTGCACAGTGTTAGGATCGGGAACTCGGGTAGTGCGGAATTTAGCCAAACAATGTTATAATGACAATAACAAAGACAATGCAAGTTGATAGCAACGGCAATTAAAGCATATAAAGAAGACATCAATTTAACGTGGTTAGTTAGTGTGACCTACATCCACAAGCGGAAAGGAGCAAATTCACTATAGCATCAAGAGTACAAAAGAGCATACAAAATTAGAGTAAATACTCTAATTAATCCCAAATACCCCCAAGAGAATAACCTCACAAGATCACTCCAAAGAAAGGGGATCACACAAGTGTTTCCCAAGTCCAGTGTTATTAAAAGCGCACGCTTCTCGCTTAAAGCGCAGAAGCGAGGCGAGGGGTCTGCGCCTTTCTGCCCTAAAGCGCGGCATTGATAAATAAGCGCATGCTTCACCCTAAAAAGCGAGAAGCGAGGTGATGAAAAAAGCACAGAAAAGCTCGCTTAAGCGAGGTCCAATGGCTACCTAGGGTTTTCTTAAAAAAAATTGCAAATACACTTGCACAAGCCACACACTTCTTCCAAACATCTGCTTCTCTGCCGCAAGCGACGACTACAACCTTCGACTTTTTCTCTTCTGCTCTTCAGGTAAGTTTCTCTTCTGCTCTTCTTCTCTTCTTCTCCTCTTCTCCTTTAATTCTTTCTTCTCTTCTCTTCCTCTACTGATTTTCTCTGCTTCACTGTTCACTGTTCGACTCTTCTTCTCTTTCTCTTCTTCTTTTCTATTTTTTTCAGTTCTTATTTATCAGTTCTGCCCTGTTTTATGCTTGTGCTCTGTTTTTTTTAAAAAAAATTCTGCTGTTCACTCATTTCACTGTTCATTGTTCAACTTCTCTCCCCTATTCTTTTCTTCTTTTCTATTTTTTTCAGTTCTTATTTCTCTGTTCACCCCTATTTTCTAATTTATGCTTGTGCTCTGTTTTTTTTTTTAAATTTCTGTTGTTCACTGTTCACTGCTCTGTTTTCTGTTGTTCACTGTTATGCCATGTTTTAACAGTTCCTTTTGTGATTTGGTTTTGCATTTGCTTAGTATGTTACTATGTTACGACTTTTGAGGATTATTGACTATCTAGTTTTAGTATCTATTATTTACTTCTTAATTTATAATTGAAACATTTGCTTAATATGTTATTTTTATTGAGTTCTTGGTCATTCATTTATGCCTATTTAATTTTTTTTATTTATGTGTTATATTGCGCTTCACATGAAAAAAGTGCACGCTTCGCTTCACGCTCACTTAACTCTCTTACAAAACACTCTCAATTACTAAAGGAGGAGAAGAAACCAGAAATGAAGACTCAAGTCTTGATGGTGTGTTTAGAATCAGCTCAATTTATAGCCAAAGGAATTTGAGTTACTTGGTATACAATTGGCCAACAAGGCCTAGAATGAGAGGACATAATATGTCCAACAAGGTCACTAAGGAAAGGCCATAAAGAAGCCAACAAGGCTAATAGCTTGTTTGGCCAAGCTTCTCAAGAGGCCAAAAGTGCTTTTTTTCTCAAAAGCACTTTTTTCCTAACTTGAGGTGTTTGGCCAAGCTTCTCAAGAGGCCAAAAGTGCTTTTTTTCTCAAAAGCACTTTTTTCCTAACTTGAGGTGTTTGGCCAAGCTTTTTTGAGGAAAAAAAGTGCTTTTGAGAAGAAGCAGAAGCAATTTCTGAGAAACCGTAAAAAGTAGCTTCTTCTCAAAAGTAGAAGCAGAAACAGTTGACTTTTCTTCTTACCAAAAATACCCTCAACAAAATATATTATATACCAAAATAACCGTTAAACCTAATACTTAGGATATTAATGTATAAATATTTCTTATTATTTTTAAGATAGCTTTCTAATATATAGTGACTTTAGGGATGAATATTTTTATATTTGTTGAATGATTTTTAATATATTTAACTTATATTAAAAGAATTAAGTACTTTTAAATTTTATTTTCATATTTTACTTAAATAAAATGAAAAGATTTAATTATTGCATGTAATAATAAATTTTTAAGATTATTTATTTACTTATAATATTAACTATTAAGTAAATCTATTCTATGTCCTTATTCGTAATTTGATACTTAAAAGCACTTTCTGAAAAGCTTGGCCAAATACAGATTATTGCTCAAAAGTGCTTTTCAGAGTGATTAGCCAAACACAAACTGCTTCTCTCCAAAAGTATTTTTTTCAAAAGCACTTTTGAAAAAAATACTTCTCAAAATAAGCTGATTTCTCAAGCTTGGCCAAACAGGCTATAATAATCATTGGCCAAAAGTAGGCCACATATATTACACACAGGAAACTGAAGAAATTGGAGAACCATCAAAATATTCAGAAGCAGTTTTTGGTGCTGACTCAGCCAAGTGGATGATTGCAATGAATGAAGAAATTGAGTCGCTCCACAAGAATGGTACTTGGTCTCTTGTGAAACCGCCGTCAGGAAAAAGAATTGTTGGTTGCAAATGGGTCTTCAAGAAAAAAGATGACATTCCAGGGGTTGAAGATGCGAGGTATAAAGCACGATTAGTTGCAAAGGGCTATAGTCAGGTACAAGGAGTTGATTTTAATGATATTTTCTCACCTGTTGTTAAACATAACTCTATTCGTGTCTTGCTTGCCTTAGTTGCCATATATGATTTGGAATTAAAACAACTTGATGTTAAGACAGCTTTCTTGCATGGCGAACTTGAGGAACAAATATGCATGCATCAAACCGAAGGATTTGAAATTGAAGGAAAAGAAAATCATGTTTGCTTGTTGAAGAAATCCTTGTACGGATTAAAGCAGTCTCCAAGACAATGGTACAAAAGGTTTGATTCATTTATGTTGGGTCATGGTTATTCGAGGAGCATGTATGATAGTTGTGTTTACTTCCGGAAGTTAAATGATGGTTCATTTGTGTACTTATTACTTTATGTTGATGACATGCTCATTGCTGCTAAGGATTTAACATAAATTCACAATTTGAAAAGTCAGCTGAAAAGTGAATTTGAGATGAAAAATTTGGGAGTAGCTAAGAAAATCCTTGGCATGGAGATAAAAAGAGATCGAAAAGCCAACAGGTTAATCCTGACCAAGAAGAAATACTTGGAGAAAGTCTTGGAGAGGTTTGGCATGAAAGATGCTAAACCAGTTAGCACCCTCCTTGCTGCTCATTTTAAATTATCAGTTGCTCAGTCCCCGCAGTCAGAGGAAGAAGAGAGGTACATGGCACAAGTTCCTTATTCCAGTGCAGTCGGCAGTATTATGTATGCAATGGTTTGTACACGTCCAGACATTTCACAAGCAGTGAGCGTGGTAAGCCGGTATATGGCTTGCCCTGGTAAAGCACATTGGCAGGCTGTGAAATAGATTCCCAGATACTTGCAAGGTACTTCAAACATATGTTTGGAATCTGGGAAAAATACTAACACTTTGGTTGGTTTTGTAGACTCGGATTATGCAGGTGATCTTGACAAAGGAAGATCATTGACAGGCTACGTATTTTGCATTGGTGGTTGCGCTATCAGTTGGAAAGCTACATTACAACATGTAGTAGCTTTATCTACTACCGAAGCAGAATATATGGCAGTAACCGAGGCGATCAAAGAAGCCTTATGGTTGAAGGGTCTATTTGCTGAACTCAGTTCACACCAAAGTGGTATTACCATTTTCTGTGATAGTCAAAGTGCCATTCACTTGACTAAAGATCAGATGTATTATGAAAGACGAAACACATTGATATCAAATATCACTTCATCCGAGAAACCATTGCTGAAGGAAAAGTCCGTGTTCAGAAGATCAACACTAGAGACAATCCCGCTGACATGTTTACGAAACCTCTTCCAGTTGTCAAGTTCAAGCTTTGCGTGAACTTGATTGGCATTTATGAAGAATGATATTGCCCGTTGGGGCTTTTTCCGAAGAAGGTGAAGTAAGTTTTCTATATTAACCAAAACTAGTCCAAGGTGGAGATTTGTAATATATGTGGCCTACTTTTGGCCAATGATTATTAGCCTTGTTGGCTTCTTCATGGCCTTTCCTTAGTGACCTTGTTGGGCATATTATGTCCTCTCATTCTAGGCCTTGTTGGCCAATTATATATGGTATACCAAGCAACTTAAATTCTTTTGGCTATAAATTGAGCTGATTCTAAACACACCAACAAGACTTGAGTCTTCATTTCTTGTTTCTTCTCCTCCTTTAGTAATTGAGAGTATTTTATAAGAGAGTTGAGTGTTGGGAAACACTTATGTGATCCCCTTTCTTTGGAGTGATCTTGTGAGGTTATTCTCTCGGGGGTATTTGGGATTAATTAGAATATTTACTCTAATTTTGTAAGCTCTTTTGTACTCTCGTTGCTATAGTGAATTTGCTCATCTCCGCTTGTGGACGTAGGTCACACTGACCGAACCACGTTAAATTAGTGTCTTCTTTATATGCTTTAATTGTCGTTGTTATCAACTTGCATTGTCTTTGTTATTGTCATTATAACATTGTTTGGCTAAATTCCGCACTACTCAAGTTCCCGATCCTAACAAAAACTAACCTAACCATCCATCCAGAAGAATGACAGAACAAGATAAGATGGAAAAAACATCCACAAAGGAAAGCAAACTAGAAAGTTTCCAATCTTATGCTGAATCAACAGCTATCTTAAATCTGAATTTCCCATGCATAAGGGAAAGCAAAAGAGATGGCAGGCACATAATGCAAACCTTTGTACCAAACTCTAACTGCCCAATAGGACGAACTGAGATATTGACGTCACAGCGAAGTGATCCTTCTTGCATATTTCCGTTACTCACTCCCAGATACCTGACCAACCTTTGCAATTCTGCAGCATATTCTGCGGCTTCAATACCAGTTCTCATATCTGGCTCAGAGACGATTTCCAACAATGGAACTCCCGCCCTATTTAAGTCAACCTGCAAAAGAAAGCCAAATAAATCAACTTCCGTCTAAGAGTCATAGTGAATCTTAAAACCATAAGGAATACTTTATCAATAGAGGCAACAAGTATATTAGATCAAATAATCTAACTCCATTCGTGCACATATACAAATAAGTTACACAATTTGAAACAATCATCAACGGAACTTAAACATTACAATGTGATGCATCTGATAAATGCAAGAATATGCTATCTGAAAGAAAGGGGCAGAAAATAGAAAACGAAGATGACGAGCACAAGAATGTTTAAATGAGTAAGGAGAAGTTCTTTCCTGCGAGTAACTCCCACCGTCGGTATGAAGCAGCTTCCCTGCATCTTCTTCCATATGCACCCTGGTAACGCCAAACTTTCTATGGCCACCACCAAACTCAACTGGAAGATCCACATCAAGATATCCGCCACTCGCAATTGGGATATCAAACTGTGATATTTGATACCCTTTTGGAAGGTCAGGATAAAAATACTGCTTCCTATCAAACTTGGAACTAAAAGACAGTTTACAATTAAGTGCAAGGCCAACTCTTACTGCACACTCAATCACCTTTGAGTTCAAAACCGGCAATGCGCCAGGCAAACCCATACAAACAGGACAAACACTGGTATTTGGTGGAGAACCGTAGTTATAAGGGCAGCTACAAAAGGCCTTAGTAAGAGTAGAAAGTTGAACATGTGTTTCTATGCCTATAACTGCCTCATAATCTTTCAAAATTTTATCAACTGTTTTTGATTGGTTTTGTGTGGAAACTTTCAACTTGGGCTGTTCTTTTTCTTGGGTTGCAGTTTGTGTTTGTGCACTTCTCATACAGCAATACAAAACACCATGTTTTCTTGCAAAATATGAAGATGGGTATAACATAGAAGGGTTAAGCTGTATCCCTCTAAGGAATGTCAAAGCCATCTTACCAATAAACACACTAATTTATACCTGCAAATCATCAAACACATTGTTCAGAATCTTCAAATTAATACTAATTATTTTCAAGAAAATATCTTGAAGTACATAAAGATTGTAACTTTAAGCTAAAATTAATAAAGAAAACTGAAAATAGAGAACACCCAGGTTTTATTTTTCTGTCAAAAAGCTTCAGGGCCATAAAACACATGGTTCAGAAGCTTCAAATTAATACCAGTTTTTTTCAATAAAATGCCTTTAAGTGCATAAAGATAGTCACTTTAAGCTGGAACTGATAAAGAAAACTGAAAATAGAGAATACCCAGTATTTATTTTTGTGTCAAAATGCTTCAGAGACTGATGAGAGTCACATACACGATACTTTTGAGGAAGGTCCAAGATTTTACTCTGAGAAGCCGTGAGATGTTAAAGAAAAAATGTTGTAAGAATTGGTTTGAACTGTAGAGTGAAGTAGACAAGAAAATTAAGCCGAAATGGCAGTTTCTATGAGTGGAGCATGGCAAAAATTGAAAGACTGAAAGAAGTTCGAACACTCGAAAAGAGAGAATTGGTGAAGATAAAGGGAAATAAAAAATCAATCGTTCATACTAATTCAATAATATTCATTGTAAGATATATGAACACCAAGTGGTCGTGCCGGAGTGGTTATCGGGCATGACTAGAAATCATGTGGGCTTTGCCCGCGCAGGTTCGAATCCTGCCGACCACGCTTTCCTTTTTTCAAATTTTCATCTTTTTTACTGTAATGGCACCTTGGTAATATGAGCAGGAAAAAAAACGTAATGCAGACCTCTATTTTGTAGCTTCGTACGCCCTTTTTTAGCATTAAAGTATGTTTTCCGCCGACCACGCTTTCCTTTTTTTAAAATTTTCATCTTTTTTACTGTAATGGCAAACCTTGGTGATACGAGCAGGAAAAAAAACGTAATGCATACCTCTATTTTTTAGCTTCGTACACTCTTTTTTAGCATTAAAGTATGTTTTCCCCTTGTATTCTCAGTGATAGAGGAATATTGAGGAAATTTTTGGTGATAATCGAACATACACTAAAATAGTAGGGTACCAATGGATTATCAGTCAATTTTTTACTTAAAACTTGTTCAAAATTTCAAAATGGACATAAATATGTTGCTTGCATATGCTTGAATGTTGTTTTTTGAGTTTATCGGAACATCCTCTCTGTTGATTAGCTCAGCCATGGTGAATGAGAAAGAGAGTTTCAGAGAAGATTGAGAGAGAAACAGCTCCATTGACAAGCTCTGATGTACTTAGACAAATGAAAATAAATCTTTGTGTATTTACAGACTCTTTTCTCTTTTATATACTAACCAACTGACAATGACATATTAACTAATTCAATTAACTCTTCTCTACTTAACTTAACTTAACTTAACACCTAACTGACAATTGTGCATTGCTAAGTGACAGTTGTATCACTACTAACTTCTACACTCCCCCTCAAGCTGAGGGATGAATACATGTTCTTCATTCTCATCTTGTCCATCAGGTAGTCATGTTGTAGTGTGCACAGGCTCTTTGTAAGTAGATCAGCAAGTTGCTCTTTAGTCCCAATGTGTTGAGTCTGAATCTTCCTTTCTTGAATCTTTTCTCTTACAAAGTGACAATCAATATCTATATGTTTTGTTCTTTCATGAAAAATAGGATTAGCTGCAATTTGAATGACAACTTTACTATCACAGAACAACCTAACTGGTACAAGTACCTATCTTCCCAATTCCTTGAATAGACCTATTAGCCATGTAATTTCTGTTGCAGTAGTAGCCATACTTCTAAACTCAGCTTCTGCAGAACTTCTGGACAACATTTCTTGTTTCTTAGATTTTCACGAGATTAAGGCATCACCAAATTTTACTAAATAGCCAGTAACTGATTTCCGTGTCTCAACACAAGTTCCCCAGTCTGAATCACAGTAGGCTGTTAGCTTCAAAGTGCTGGCAGCTGGCATGAAGAGTCCAAGTCCAGGTGCATTCTTGATGTATCTGACCACTCTCATGGCTGCTACCAAATGAGATTGCTTTGGTGCATGCATATGTTGGCTGAGTACTTAAACAACAAATGTTATGTCTGGCCTGGTCATAGTCAAGTATAGTAGCCTGCCAACAATCCTCTGATAACCACCTTTATCCTCAAGTTGTTGATCATCAACATCTGCCTTATTGTTTACAACTCTGTCAAATTTTATAGAAGTGAGTTTGTGATTGAATTCCAAAAGAGTTCCAGCAGGTTTAGCTTATGCTACCCTTGTTTTTTAGACAAGTTCAAGGGCATATTTTCTCTGGCACATGTGAATTCCCTTTTCTGACCTGGAGAATTCAATCCCCAAGAAATACATCAGTTCTCCCAAGTCCTTCATCTTGAACTTGTTCTGAAGGTCCTTTCTAACTTACTGAACGAGTTGTTAAGTGACTACCTGTGACCAAGAGGTCATCGACATAAACAAGAACAATGACCAACCTCTCTTTTCTTCTTTTTTGTAAACAAAGAATAATCATAGTGTGACTGCACAAACCCCATATCAGTCAAGACCTCTGTCAGTTTTAAGTTTCATTGCCTAGGTGCTTTCTTGAGGCCATACAAAGACTTGTGAAGCTTACAGACTTCTTGTACTCTCCCTGGCTTAAAAAACCATCTGGAATCTGCATGTAGACATCCTCAACAAGATCTCCCTGTAGAAAGGCATTATGGACATCCATTTGAAAGATGTACCAACTAGAGATTGGAGCTAGAGCCACTAGTATTCTGACATTCACCATTTTGGCTACAGGAAAGAAGGTCTCATTTGTAGTCAAGACCCTCTTGTTGACTATAACCTTTAGCAACCAGTCTTGCTTTGTATCTTTCCACCTCCCCAGTAGACTTGCACTTCACTTTAAACATCATTTTGCATCCTATGGGAACCTTATCAGGTGGTAGATCAACAATAGACTAAGTCTTATTGTCCTCCAAGGTTGAGATCTCAGCCTTCATAGCATACACCCACTGTGGATCCTTGCTTGCTTCAGCAAATGCCCTGGGCTAAAAAACAACAGAATATGCAGCAACAAAATCCATGTAAGCAGAAGACAATTGATCATAGTTCACATACTGAGCTATTGGATAGGCACAGGTGGACTGCTTAGTGTGCACTACATAGTCTTGTATCCAAATAGGAGGTTTGGACACTCTGGAAGACTTTATGAGAGGTGGAGGAGAGGCAGGAGAAGCAGCAGTGCTTGGTACATCAGTAGTCTGAGTAGGAGGAGGCATCTCACATATAGGAGCTTCAATCTCCACTATGGACTGCACAACTTCAGGAGGTGAGACAGAAGCATCCACTGCTGAAAGCTGCATAATTGGGAAGATTGGAGAATGACCAGATTGTAGATGTTGAAAAGGAAAGATATCTTCCTTAAACATAGTATCCCTGCTAACAAAGAAGTGATGAGTACAAAGATCATAGATAAGATAGCCTTTTTGGGAAGATGAATACCTAAGATGAACTGCAGGAAATGCTCTAGGACTGAATTTATCTGTCTTTCTCACATTAGTAGCATAACATATGCTACCAAACACTCTCAAATGATGCAAAGAGGGTGGTCGAAGAAACAACTTCTCAAAGGGAGATTTGCCTTTCAGCAGAGCAGTAGGCAACCTATTCATCAAGCAAACTGCAGTAGAAACACACTCACCCCAAAACTTCAAAGAGATGAAGACCTTAAGGCTCGAGACATGTCTAGAATATACCTATGCCTTCGTTCTACTATACCATTCTGTTGAGGAGTGTAGACACATGAGCTTTGATAAACTATTCCAAAGTCCTTTAACAGAGAATAATCTTAGTGTTGACAAACTCTGATCCATTATCAGTTCTCAAACATTTTACATTATAACAGAACTGATTTCTAACTAATACCAAGAAATCGTTCAGAACAACAATTGAGTCTGCCTTAGTACTCAATAAGAAAATCCAGGTATATCTAGAGAAATCATCTACTAGGGTCATAAAATACCTCTTACCATCATGCGTAGGTACTCTATAGGGACCCCAAACATCAACATGCACAAGATCAAAAGGATGAAAATAACAAATATTACTGAGAATAAAAGGTAATCTTGATTGTTTGGCAAGTGGACACACAGTACATAGATGATCTTTCAATTGTACAACTTTTAAACCATCAATATTTTTCAAGACTCTAAAAGGAGCATGACCTAATCTTCTATGCCATAAAGGAGTATTGTCACAAGTCTTATTCATTATATCACCACCAGGTTTATTACTTGAACTAATAATGGTATTTACAAGTGAATGGTGCATACACTTATCCCCTTTATTCATTGGCTGGTGTGAGGAAGAAGCTAGACCATTTGCTTGTAGAATATAGAGACCATGCCCTTCTCTACCAATCCCTATCACCTTCTCACCGAAGAGCTCCTGAAATAAACAGAAGTCAGGGAAGAATGCCAACTTAGATCCTTAGTGATTTTGGAAACAGACAACAGATTGTACTTAAATTCAGGAACATACAAGACATTGTGAACTGTTCTATCTTGGAAGATTGAGGACTCTCCTAATTTAGTAATAGAGGCTTGACCACCAGTAGGTAAGAGTACTTTACTTTTGAACTTTTTAGGTATATCAGAACACTTATTTAGCAAAGCCATATTGTGTACCATATGATCAGTGGCACATGTGTCTATTATCCAGTTAGTATCAACTAGAGTGGACAACAGGGCAGAATAGGTACCTGCAGTGTCAGCTTTGTCTACATTAGCCATAGGTGCAACTTCATTTCCTTTGTTGAGAAGCTGTAAAATCTGAGAGTATTGCCCAGGAGTGAAGAACTGAGCTAGTGAAGGAACTCCGGGTTGAGAAACTCCAAGTTGAGAGTGATATTTGGCTATAATTATATATTTTTAGTGCATTACTTACCTTATATTTTGGGGCTTTAATGCTAAACTATACTATATTTGTGCTTAATTGAGTTTTATTTTATGTGTAGGTACGTTGAAGACGAAATTGGAGCAAAGTAGAGATTTTATGTGTATTTTATACACTACAAGAATGGAGTTATTATTATTTAATTAGTGGATATATAAGGATTAAAGTTTAACATTACAAAGGAAGACAAAAGAGACAAATCAAAAGAAGACAAAAAGAACAATTGAAAAAAGAAACAAAAACATGAATTGAAAATGTTAGGCAACAAAATTGAATAGCAACAGGCGTAGCGAGCAACTTTGCTCACGTTAGAGTAGGCGAGGCGAGGATTAAAGCGTGCGACAGAGCTTGCATCGCACAGGCTACAGCGAGATGAAGCTCGCGTTTTGCCTTGCGCCGCACGGTTTGTAGCGAGGGTGTTCCAGGTTTTAAAGCCTATTTTGTCTCCTTTTTGGTTTTGTACTTGGTTATTTCGTCTAGGATTTTTTCCTACATATATAAATAGTCATTAAACACCATTTTTAGAGGAGTTTTTGCGACCAGAGGTAAGAACATCACGTGGAACAACTTTTGGAGAAGAAAATCATCGAGTTGTTCATTCCTTTATCTTTTCTTTGTAATTTGTTTATGCAAAATACTTGGAAAAATATTACTATGAATATGAGTATCTAAGCTCTTTGTTTCTAGGGTTGTGGTTGACATGATTATTAACGTTTATTAATTACATCTTCGTTAATTTAAATTATCATCTTATGGTTATTTCTTTAATTCTAGTTTTAACTTGTGAATTATTGTAGCTACCAATTCACCTTACTATCTATGCTATGCTTGGGAAATTAGAGTAGAATTAAAGAGAGCTTGTTTCTGAACCCGTGGCTTGAGGGAAGATTTCGCGGTTAGGATAGGAATACACCTAACAATCTTGCTTAATTGAATACCGTATTATATTCATTCATGATAGACTCAATACCATAGGAATATATGATTGATATATTGTGGGCAGGCGAGTAGTATTGTGGGAACATGCTATTCATATAAATGATCCGGTTAATTAGCAACCATAGATAATCTGGATTAACGAGTGTGATTATTGAACTTAATAGGACTGATAAACCAACCACAACCCTAGAATTTTCATCTCATTTGAAGTAAAATCTCATCATACACATTTGCATTATCGATAAGTTAGTTGTTACTTGTTTAATTTCCGCAATAGTAGTTTAATAGAAAAACCTCACTCTTGATTATCTTGGACAATTAATTGATTTTAATTTGCTTAGTTGACAATTGATCTAAGTCTTTGTGGGTTTGAAATCCGACTTTCGAGTCACTTTATTACTTGACGATCACGTATACTTGCGTGTACTTGGGGAACCAACAAGTTTTTGGCGCCGTTGTCGGGGACTTAGTTATTGATTGTTTAGTTAAGTTAAGCTTTTATTCATTATTTGTTCAAGTTTTAATTTTTAGTTTGCTTTATTTGTGATAACGCATGCTCTTCTCTTGAATGCGGAGGAGTAGAAGCGCAAACAATCTCCTTCCTCTTGATCCTAAAATCTAACGAACACTTCATAGAGTGAGGAGGGAAGTCGAAGCTAGAACTAGAATTGAAAGAGAGTTGGACATCGTAGTTTAACCACAGCCAATAGAGATGGCAGGTAATGAAGAGCGTCCGGTGATAGAAGTTGCAAGGCCCAATCTGGCTAATATAACTCAGGCGATTGTGAAGCCTGATATAACGGGTCACTTTGAACTCAAACAGTACATGGTACAACTGATTCAATCCACAGGGCAATATGTGGGTCTATCTCATGAAGACCCGCATAGGCACATTCAGAACTTCCTGGAAATTACAAACACTTACAATTATTTGAACATTTCCAAGGACTATGTCAGGCTGACACTGTTTCCCTTTTCACTGATGGGGGAAGCTAAGGAATGGTTACAAAAGGAGCCCGCGAACTCAATCCACAATTGGGATGATCTAGCAAGAAAATTCTTAATCAAGTTTTTTCCCACGAAGAAAACAAAGTCGATGAGGAGCCAGGTTCTTGGGTTTCAACAACGAGATGTTGAGACTCTTCGACAAGCTTGGGAAAGATACAAGAAGCTACTCAGAGACTGCCCACACCATTGTAAGACTGATGAGGTGTTGGGTCACACTTTTGTTGATGGGTTGGACGAGGCATCAAAGATGAATCTTGACTCAGCATGTGGGGGTAGTTGTATGGCAAGACCGTATAGTGAGATCCAGATCCTGCTAAACAATTTCACTGTTAATGATAATAATTGGCAAGGAGACGGGGAACCACAAAGAGCACTTAAACAAAAGGCAGCAGGTGTGATCGAGCTTGATGATTTCTCAGCAATGAGGGCAGATATAGCAAGATTAGCGAATCAGATGAATAAAATGACAATGCACCATGTACAACAGATGCAATATGTGCAACAAATGTCTACTTACTGCGAGTTATGTGATAAAGGTCACACAAGTGATATATGTCCCATGAATCCTGAATCAATCTACTACGTGGGGAAACAAGCTAGAGGGACGATGAATCAACATGATTAATATGGTAACACATACAATTTGAACTGAAGGAATCATCCTAACTTCTCTTGGGGTGGAAATCAGAATATTAGACCTCAAGCGAATTACAATCATCCACCTCAACCTCCACTGCAAGCAAATGAGAGTTTGACTGACATGATGAAAAAGCTCTTGATAGACAATTAGAAAGTTATGGTTGAGAATCAACAAGTCAGGGCTGAGAATCAACAATTGCGCACAGAATTCAAAAATCTAGAGAGGCAGTTTGGGCAAATGGCTAA